TATTTCTACAGAGAATCCTCTAAAGCTTATTATCGAATGTATTTATTCTTTTTGATATTAAACTCAGTCATCCATACCTTCTAAAAAATGAATTTGATAAATCTCAAAAAGATAAAACTTACTTGGATGTATACAGGTAATGATCATCTTCTTTATCCCACATGTACCTATATGGTACATGTAAATTTCTAGTATTATTGAAATAAGGATTATATTGACTGTCTAATATAACAGAAGTATTTGTTGTGTTATCAGTAAGAAATGAAGGATCTGGTACTGGTGATGAACTAGATGAATAAGTCGATGAAATATTAAATGAAGTAGGTGAATATTGTTTTGAGGTTGATTCAGTAATCCAAAGGTTATGAAGATAGTGATGAGGAGATGGACGAAGGTGAACCGATGCATCTTCATTAGTTTGCATCCAACATCCGTCATCTGTATACATTTTCTTTTTCTTTTTTTTTAATATGAATAATAGTAATTTCTTAGGATTACTTCAGTTCCCAAAAATTATGAACAAAAAATGGAAAACTAAGAAACTAGACATTTTCAATAGTTTAAAATAAATATTGAAAAGTTAGATTAGTACGGATCATGAGCTCATTGGTTATTATTTCTCCACCTTATATTTAACTATGAATAATAGTGATAAATAGGCGAGGACATATAGTCTGTCCAATTTAGAATTTAAACTTTGATAGGTAGATACTGAAATCATTATTCTCTTATAATAATAGTAAAAGCATAAATTCTGTTCCCCTCTAATTTATCACAGAAAAAATATATATATTTTTTATTATCTCTTCCCTTATTTAATGAAAATGATAGCTAATTATTAAGCTTTTCAACAGTTAGGCATGTGGGTTAAAATAGATTAAAAATGAATGAAAGTGATTCTTACTAGTTAAGTTAGAACATATAATTAAACATTATCTTTTATTTTAATCTTGGTAAAATATTTATAATTAAATAGGAGATAAGTATAAACATTGTGGAATGAATTATTGAATAATGAATAAATTCATAATATAACATACCAAAAAGAAACCATTATTAGAAATAATGTGTAAGAATGTAATTGAACAAACGAATGTACTTTGTATAGTTTTTGTAGGATGGTTGATCATACTAAACAACTATCTAAACCTAGGAATATAGAATGAAATTCAAATATATGGTAGACTGATTGAAATTCATGTAGTTTGACAGTAAATGAACCACTTCATCATCACTTAGATGCTAGTATATATCATAGGAAATAAGATATAACATTCACCACTTTAGATACCACAACAATATGAATAAAATAGTGATCTAGGTTAACTCGTTTTTCTTTTTAAGGAATATGATTTCGTGTTTTGCTTATCTACACAGAATTGGAGTTATCTTTTTTCAAGGATATTCATAAAGCTACTATAATTAAACTTGAGAGAAAACTAAAGAGACGGTTCATTCTAAGGTGTTCCCTCCCAAATTACATGGTTATATCTTTTGTCGTATGGAAAGCTATCAACAAATATAGTCATAAAGCTTTTAATTTGTGTAATTCTGGTCTTTTTTATGTGATTAAGGAAGTAACATATTTAAAACAACAGAATCTGCTAATTATTATAAAGTTAGAGATGCAAATAGTTTTTTACAAAAATGTGAAACTACTTGATAACTTGTTATGTTATATTTTCCTTTCACTACTTTTGACAGATTAAGTCACTGTTAGGAGTAGAAAGACAAACATCTACTCACTACTAATTATTTGAATAACTCTAGAATTTCAACCAAGTTAAATAAGGCAAAAACAGTCTTTTCAGAATATAATAAATTCACTGTGTTTCGTTGCTTTCTTTTCAGCTGCATACAAGGTGATAGATTTATACATTTCACAACACCAATATGATAAGTAAAAGGAATGAGTTAACATCAGAAATCAGTGAAAAATTTTCAGGTAACGAAATTGTAATGAGGTTTGTTTTAGATGTTTTTGTAAATAATTATTGTGATAAATCCAGAACACTGTTATATAATATGACAAAATAAGATAGATCAATAGGTTGAAATAACTCAAAAGTAATCAAAACTTCCTGAAATATAGAAAGTAAGTTCTTAACACTATTCTTTTTTTTTGTTCTCAAGACAGGGTTAAACACAATCACTTTTTGAATATAAAAGTCAAAACTTGTTACGCGTATTTATACGAATATTCGTCAAGACTAGAACGAATAGTTGGACAGAAATTGGGCACCGAGTATAAAGAAGTCATTATATGTGAAAATTATATTTGAAATAATCTCAGCGACTGAAATCTAAACAATTCCAACGTTACGTCCAGCTAACTTGTTTGGACTTCTTCAGGGTAATAATCAAAATCAAAATCATCAAGGAAATATATAGCTTTTTAACAATCAAAACTATACTGTGTTAAAACAATCAATTTTGGATGTTGATTTTTGTAAAATAGGATAAAATGTACTCGTAGTTATTTATCTAGATGGTTTGTAGACATTCATATAGTTTTGGAAATATTTGAAACGACATTAACCGGTAAACCATTAAAATCCTAGACACAATAGACAAATTTTCCATCTTGCTTTGGAATACCACAGTAAAGTATACCCGAAACTTTATACGGGTCCCAAATTGGCATTTTGTAAATCTCAATCGTACTAGTTGGCAAATAATCTATTAAATATGGATCTAACAATTATTTAAGTAATTTTAATGGTTAAGATCATGAGTCAGTTGAAGCTGGAACACCATAGAAAACCTGGGAGCACTAGACGGCCGTTTCGTCCCATTATGGGACTCCTCAGCAGTGCGCATCCACGACATCGCCCCCTGCGAGATCGGAACTCAGGACCTACTGGTTTCGCGCGCGAGCACTTAACCACTAGACCACTGAGCTGGCCGGCATCCAGTGGTGTTAATGTCTAACTTAAACTAATCCACGAAATTGAGCGACACATCCACCGTTGTCTTCAGTGAGTTACTACCTCACAACTGACCTGGTTTGACTCCACTGGTCACCACCTCTCACTAGAACTCCAGGATATACCTCTTGAAGCTAGTCATTAGTGAGCATATGTTGATTAACACCAGATGTGTTTTGTGGACAATGGTAGATGTGTCGCTCAATTTCGTGGATTAGTTTAAGTTAGACGTTAACACCATTGGATGCCGACCAGCTCAGTGGTCTAGTGGTTAAGTGCTCACGCGCGAAACCAGTAGGTCCTGAGTTCCGATCTCGCAGGGGGCGATGTCGTGGATGCGCACTGCTGAGGAGTCCCATAATGGGACGAAATGGCCGTCTAGTGCTCCCAGGTTTTCTATGGTGTTCCAGCTTCAACTGACTCATGATCTTAACCATTAAAATTACTATAATATCCACAAAACCTATCTGAAATTATTTAAGTTATAGACAAATTTTGATCATTTTCATTTTTGTGCAAATATTTGGCATATATATGTGTTTCATCATTGCTAACAACTCTTTCTGTTTTCTAAGGTTCCTCTATTTGGAAACTTCGGTCAGTCATTCAGAATTTGCAAATCCTAGTCACTCGGCCACTTAACCTCATTAGTTCAGATAATCGATTGCATAATCAACAGTCACACATTAAGACAATAGTCTCCCGTTATAACGATATGTGTAAAACTTGATTGTAGTAACTGGTTCCTGATTTTTATTTTTTATTCCAAACATTTAATGAGAATTCAAAAATCAGTATATAAAAGACTATCTACTGTTTCTAGTATGTGGTCAGTGAAAACTCATCATTAATTCTATTGCATACATCATATTATGTTAATGTTAGGTAAGAGAAAAACCCTAACCATATAAATAAACAAATAAATTTTTTTTAAGAAGGACTTGAGTTTAGTAGAAAAAAATATGTTATATTCTAGTTACTTTAGTCATCATAATGCAAAACGTCTAGTTTTATATAATTCTTGTTTAATAATAATTATAATGATTGCTTCTCAGATTGAATATTAACACATGACCTGTTTTCACTGTTATTATTTTTCTACTTCATTGTGTTCTCATTATTTATTATGGGATATATATATATTAAATAGATTAATAATGAGATAACCCATAATTTGATGAAATTATATTTGGGTATCACTATTAAAACACTTTTCAAAATGTTTTTCTAAATGGATTTTCCACTAAAAATAATTCGTCTTCTTACTTATAAAACTACTGATAATGAGCTACTTTTTTATTGTTAGATATTTCTGAGTAATATATATGAGAAAACAACTATTTAAAACTGTGTTTGGCAATAAATGAAGGGTTTTATCATTTGTAATTTAACCATTAATATGATGAGTAATCGTTAAAAATATTTAAGAAACTGTATGATAAGTGACGCTTTGGATCATACAATAACTACGGAAATTAAGGTCTGGAAACCAGAGTTAGTTCTTGAACCACAGATCAAAGCCATAGAAGGTGTAACTATCAATATTGTCGTCACTCATTAGGCTAGTTGAATGTCTTTTTAAATGAAATCGATTTCTACCAAATAATATCAGTCTATAGTTTTATCGTTATACAGAATGATTGTTTTTTCACAAGAAAATTATTTGGTCTCTCTGTATTTTCCTTTACCAATGTTTGATTAACCTGAGCTGCAAAAACTCGGATTATATTGATTAGATTTAGTCACAAGCTTAATTTGAATATCAGTCTTAATTACAAGGAAAAAGTCGTAAAGTCAAAACAAGAATAAAAAGTGGTCTTGAGCCTTGAACTAATATTTACATATGAAATGTACTTGAGCTACTAACATTAAAATAAGTAGCTAAGTTGGCTTTGAATAAAATTTATCAAACAACTAGAACTGTACTTCATGTGATCTGGAAAAGTATATCAAACCTTGAGCATTCAGAATAATTATAAATCAAACTGTTCATTTGATAAAGATAAGTATGAATGGGAGGAACTTTTATTACTGTAAGTTCTTTAATGAAATCTCAAATAGTTCATGTGCAAGATGACATACAACAATAATAGTTCAAGAGTTAGTTCACCAGTTTATTATGTAATTTCTGTGTACAATTTACTTTTTATGACTTTTGAACCATCTACAAACGTATACTAAAGTATCCAACCCAACAACAACAATACTACTATCAGTTTATGTACATATATCATATGTATAAATATGAGGAGTAGCTATGATATTACTGTTTGTGACATGAAGGGAAATTCATATTCTGTTAGACATCTAGGCACAAGTGAGAGGACTTCAACTGTTCTACGCTAGCATGTAGTTGTACTCAGTTTTTCAAAACTGGACTGAATCCAAATGATGAGACTTATTCAAGTTAAAATTCATGTCGTTCGAAAAGGAGTATCTCGAGAAATTATGTTGTTAGTTACCTAGTTTAGACGGTGTTTAGTACTTCATACAGACCTAGCTAGTTTTAGCGAATCGTCTTGATCAGTGATAAGAAATCACTTATCCATGTTCAGCTAGCTATTGTTGCGCATTTTAGAGTTGCCAATAAGCACTATTTAGTCAGAAGATTCTGTAAATCTATTCTAATTGCCCTTTTCGAAAATTCAGTCATATTCTTTGATATCAGATGTCATAATTTACTTTGAAAGCAGAACTACTCGATTAAATTCTCATAGTGCAGAACACTTCATGTAGTCAAGTCGTGATGAGTTTTTAAAGCACTACTTATATTGAAAAAGATCTATCAAAAATACATGTGGTTGTTTTTTATGCATTATAGCAGCTGGTAGTAGTTACTTATTTTCGAATTTTGTGTGACATTCGATCGTCCTATATACACCCACATCTTGAAATAATTCTTATTGATCTAGTGAACACAAATTGCACGACCTTGGACTAGTTATGAAGTTAGCGTTTTCTTATCAATATAACTTTTATCAGCATATAAACACATTAATGACATAAAACCATAGCTCATAGGCTTCTCAATAAATGTAGGTAAAAGTTTGTGAGTCCCACCTATGGGATAGTTTAAGTTTTTTAGGAAAAAGCACTACTAAATCATTGATTGGTGTGTAGTGACCTACTTTTGTCAACAGAACGCGATTGGTTCAATGAAAACAATTATTATTATAACCAATTGTACCAGTGACTGTTTTACTGTGCTCGTTTGTTTAACTATGCTAATGACAGCCATTACACTTACTCTCCCGTTGACTTTGAACTTGTACGAATTCGGTTACGTTTAGTAACCACGCTTGTACTCCTTTGGCACGATCTCGGTATTCTTTCGATACCACGAGATCGCCAACAAATACATCTCGACTACAGCCATCATTTGTCTTCTGATATTGGCCTACGGGGATCTTATTGGTTAATTGGCACGTAGTCTTGTAGCGGTGTTCATAGTCAAACTCAACTCGACACCACGCTACAGGTGAAAGACTAAGGAAGGATTATTGTCATAAAAGTAGAAAGGAAAATAATTACCATCCAAAACTTGAAAACAGTCTGAGAAACTCAGTGATTTTAAATGATTAGGTGATTCTAGCAATCTTCATGTGATGTACCTCAACCGCATGATTCCTGAAGGTGAACACACGATAACCAAGAAGATTTATATTAACATTTAACACAGTGAGAACATCAGAGTTGGTGAATGAAGGAACAATTGATCGAAATTTCATGGCTCAGGCATGCGTGAAGGGTCATCACTAATGTAACCTCTTGACTTTCATATAAAATATGTTACTCTCTTCCGAGCCCAAATGTATTCTTTATCACTTTTGGCAGCAACCACATACTGTCAAGATAGGACAAGTCAGTATAGATAATGACGCGAATTTCACGTAAGGTCTAATAGATTAGGTAGTCACATCATGGCAAATCTACAGTTGTGGATGTAAGATCCATTTTGAGTGTCTTGTGTGTGAAAATCCCTCCATGTATACACTTGCAGTTTATTCTTATTGATACCTTTGGTTGTACATTTTGTTAGTCTTTTTTATTCCATTTGAGTTGATAGCATTTGTATTTTATTATAGTTTTTATTTTTTCTTACGCTTTCACTAAGTTTCCGTGTTTCTTCCTGAACTGCATTTAAGTTGTTTTACTTGATACTTATTCTTGGCGGCAACCATATTGGTTTGATCCTCCATTTGGTTGTGTTGCGTGCATTGACTAAAATTGTGTATTTTTGATTGTGAATTGAAGCACTCTTCCAGAATTGAAAACACTTGGTGTTATAAAGCAACCAAACATTATCTTCTGAACGAATCTGTGTGTGATCTATCCAGACAGGATAGAATAACATTTATTTGTTGAGATTGGTAATTTTCTAGCATCCTTATTCAACTTTCTTATTCATTGTAATTTAGATTTGATTAATTGAACTATTGTTGTTTGAATAGCTGGGTGGTTATATTTGTTTAGGTAACGATGTACATTTGAATTTATGATGAATTATAGAACCGTCATTTTGCCCGATTACTTTGTTTTGGTTTCAAACGGACAAGGGCGCGTATCTAACCCTATAAGACAGCTATTCTTCAATCCAAACCTTAGTTTGGATCTTACAGTAGAAGAGGTTAAATATTTTGGTAGTATAAATAAACGTGCTAGTACCAATCTAGACCATACATCTAACTAATGAATCCTCAAAATAAGTAGATTTACACGTCTTGGACACTGATGCTGACCTCGCTAGTTTTACTGGACACACCCGTAGCTCAAGGCGCTTTGTCAGACATCCACACTAGATAATATTTAGATACACTATGCTGCTTCTTTATATAACAGTTAGTCAATTTGTATAACATACTTCTCGATCTAATGACTGTTACAGGGGAACTGAAGACATATGGCTGATTAAGATCTTTATATTAGATATTATTAATTTCACTGTGTTTTTTGGATGTATTTGTTTTACTCAACGTCTGGACTTGTTTATTTATGTCATTATTTTCGGACATTTTGGTTGCTCATTGTCTTTGGTTTGGTATTTGGGAGGTTTCGCTCCGGGAACCTACAAAATTGTAGGTTTGCTTTGTAACTCTTATAATTATTGCTTTTACAACGACATTTGGGTCGACTATTCGTAAATTGCGAATAAACTTAAGTACCTAAATTGGAGTTTGGTTCTATTGTTAATTTGGGTTCGTAAATTGCAAATAAATCGATATACCGTCCTTCAATAACGTGAACGAACAAAATCTTGGACGTAACAATGACTATTTCCGAGATGTACCTTTGGATCCTTTCATTCCTGAATTTCGGTTTGAGTGTGGTTTGATGTCTTTGATTAAAGAGATGTTACGGACAACAGGGTTGTCAATCGCTGTATATGTATGCTATTTTTATTTGTTTAGTTTTCATTTATTGCGTGAGAAGTGTTAGTCATATCTAAATGTGACATAAGTAAAATATACTGGGTAATGTAATGTAAAACAAATAAATTACATTAAATAAATGAAAATTAGATGGGGTTTATCTTTCGGATTTTCGTATAAATGTGCTTTAACTGTGGACATTATATTACAGCTTTGACACAAACCGGTCTTCAGAGAGAGAGCAAAAAGCATTAGTCAAATTATGGATTAACAATTGTGATCATGACAATACATTACTTTAGTATTTGTACTAATCGGCGATTTCTTTTTATATCATTCCGTGTATAATTTGAGTTCTAAGTACGTTAATTCCGACTGTGCTTACAGATTTCTTTCTCACCCGATTACTGGCCCATATTTGATTATTAGAGTACGAATTAGATAGTCATGTGTATCACTAGTGAGCAACCAGAATATGACCTTCGAATCACCACAATTACTTCTGATAATCCAAAGTAGATCTGGTTTATGAGGGTGGACAGTAAACTACCTTTACCTACCGAATGCCTTCAACCTCTGATTTCCTAAAAATAATATCGTCAAATTCCAAACAATATAGATAATGACAAAACTGTGTGAAGCATTTGAAAGTTAACATTCTCCTAATTTATATGCTTTAAAGGACAACCATAGGACTCTGGAGTGCTTATGTGAAACGTTACCTATCTAAATAAGGTTACCATTTTTGAGCAGATAATTTGCAAGGCGAAGTTATGAGAAATGAATTATGCTAACTACATATCTTTGATTAGTTAGCTCCACCGAGCCCAGAAAACTACATATTTTTGTGGTGATTACACATTTTAGTTTGACATCTGGAATATATCAAGGATCAGTCAGAATACGGAACTTAGTAAGTCTTTTTTGAACATAAAACAGATATACTAGTAAACTTTTATGCAGCTGGGATTAAAATAGCAGCAGAGCTTTCTGACCTCACTAACAAGGGGAGCTTGAAATGCTCCCTCATCTGTTTGACACGTCAAAGTGTAATCTTTAGATTTATCTATGTAGACAGAAACTCGAAGACTTATATGAATCATTTTCTAATGAGTTTCTTTTTGTGTTCAGCCCCCTAATCTAATAAGATAACGAAAGGGGTAAATACAACTTCCCCTTGTGATCAACTGCATAAGTTGATGATAGAACAGCGTACTTAAATTTTGTGCGCATACATCTTATTTTTAGCGTTTCAGTTCATTTTCTATGCCCTCTATATTTCACTGACATATAACTCAATGGTCTATCACTTCCGTTCTCAACTGAAAAGAATTGCCTGAGTCTTGCAACAATATTTTCAGATGAAGAATTAAATGCTGCCTTTTCAGTAATTGAATAGACTAATATAAGTAGACGAACCTTTAGTTGTTTGTCATTGAACATCGAGTTGGCGGCAGTATGTAGTGTGCGCTATGTTTGCAAAGTGGTTGTAATAGTGGTGCTGTTTTCTAGTTCTTCAGCACAATGCAACTGGCCACCGAGAACTGACTTTAACTCAATCTATCACTTCTTGTCTCAAAAGTAGGTATTACTCCTTCAGAGTCATCGGTATTCTTGAGCGGGTTTTACTACTTAATACCCGAATAAATCAATTTTTAACATTTTCAAATCCTACTTCTTTGTAACTCTTCACATGCACTTTTTCATTAGCTTCAATGTGGCGGTGGTTAATTGCGTATAGTAATTATCTCATCACTTTTCAGTCCAGGTCGACCGGCAAAATGATATTCTGAAATTCGATCGAATTTAAGAATAATAATTTCATCTTGGTATTGTACTGAAGGTATTTATAAATGGACTTAAATCCATCTCTGTTAAAAGTTCGACAAGGCACCTCACCTGAATGTCTCATCGTATTAATCGTAGCGAATGTTCTCAGATGCTTTCCGTGCAAACATCTGAACCGAAAATATTTTTGTCTGTACTGTATTTGTTCAAAAAATTGCAACTCTACATCACATATGGGGTCTATGCGAATACAAATAAGGCTTATAGATTCAGTTGGACTACTACTGTCGCTCGTCGTAAACAATAAAAATCTAGATCTTTGTTTCTCAATCCCCTTCTGTGTCGAAAGGTAGCTCATTCCACTTAAAATAATGTGTAAGGTCATACAGACAGCATATAATCAGCTCTGTGAGGTATCAGATAACTGAAATCCATTCTACTTGGAGTAATCTTGCTATCAAATATGAAGCTAATATCAGCATTAAACTAGGCATACTTTGAGTTGTCAGAGCCTACTTCATAATCGCAGAGGTTCTTACTCCTCAGGTCGCAAATTGTATATGACATTACTGGACAAAAAACATTCCGTCAGCTTTCAAGGTGCTCCTGATATAAACCAATAGGGTATATTTTGAAGAAACTTTAATTAATTGAAGTATTTCCAAAGTGTAAAAAATAGTCTTTAGGCCAGTACGCATAACCTCACCCTCTCAACCAAAGACACTTTTGATGTCGTTGAGTTCACCAGAAATGAGTGCAATGACATATAACCTTCTCCAGAAGTATTAAGATCAGTTAAGTTAAACGTAGACCTCTTTGGGGACATGATAATTTAAAGCGGATTTATGAAGCCACCTTGTAGCTGATGATCTTATGACTCTGGCGATGAGATTTATTTTGGATTCCCTTTCTGGTACTTACGAAACTTAATATCATTTGACACCGAGGGGGAAATTAGGAGAAAGGGGATCAAGTTAGCGAAATCTACTCCCTTAAATTTAGAAGACCATAAAAGTCAACCTGCTAAAGACTGACACCACTTGAAAACGTTTTCTTCACAACAGCTAGGTGATGGATGTTTCCTACCGATTCACTGTCAATACAACAATGAAACGGAGTGTGCTTTCGATTATTGCTAAATTCAGGGTTGATAGATGATCAGGACCCACACGTAATGGGTTTTTATGAAGCCCGGGTTGCCATTAGTAAATCTCAGTTGATCCCAGGCTATTTCACAAGGATCGATCAGATACTGTAGTTAAAGTTGTACTTTGCATATCTTCCTCACCTCCAAACTTTCTGGTGAATTCGGAGACTCGATAATGAAATTCAGCTGTGACATGACGGAATAAGATGATATTATTTGAACCAATTCTTTTTGTGTCAGTTTGTTATGAATTCCGGCCAAGGTGACAGGTGTGAACTTTAGGGTCCTGTCTGTTAGGCTTTCTAGTCTTCTATAAATGTAGGAAAACTCTCCATCGGTATGTAAATAAATAAACTTGATTTGTGTTATTTATTCAGACAAAAATTGGTTAACCCTTTAAGGTCTTGCCAAGTTAAATTTAGTTGGATCTAAACAAATTCAGTTTTACTTTTCTGTGATGTAGGATCTACATCGTATAGATATAAGAGGGATTCGCACGGATAAATTCGTTTGTGAGTTATTAGACATAAATATCTTATCTTTCGATTTTGTCAGACACAGCTACAACGTAGGGTCAGCACATATGCATAGGTCCAAGTTGCCATACCTCATTGACACAACAAGCTGAACGCCAAATTCATATGGGTAGTTACTTCAATGATAGTAGCATATAAAAAAAAGATTGTGTAATGGTTGTTTAGTATTATGGTAGTTGAGCGTGATGTTGAGTAGAATACGTCCAACATATTCATTAGGTTTATTTAATTTTCTGAAAGTGTTGAAATTAAGTGATGTTGGTTCTTTAAGATTTTCTTGGAAATTGTGCTTATTTTCAAAATGGCATCAATCCATAAAGTCACTAACCTATGGCCTCCGTCATGCAATGAGATCTCAGCTTCCTGATTAAAGGGAATAAAATAGACAACCAGTCTAGAAATTTAATTCGTGTAATTCAAATCGACCTTATTGGAGGCCCCCAAATGCATTGGTACGGCCGAGAGTGGAGGGAGTCCGCTCACCCTCTCGAAATGCTCTCATATATAGCCTCTGCCAAGGAAGTTCTACTCACTGCCTTCTCGTGGCGGGGGTGTTGTTTACGAAATTGAGAGGACGAAAAGCGAACGTCAGGTGCTGTAACCGGGTTGGTGGACATGGAGAGTCCATCTAGGGGAGTTGGGAAACCCTAATTCCAAACCAGTGATGCATATGAGCTCCAGTATCCTGAGGGAACAAATGGTGTATGAACCAATCGTTGGTCACCGGTTACCACGGGGCTGCATCTCCATACGATGCTCCACTGCCTTGTGGATCAGACCTTTAGGTCGAAGGCTCCGGGTGTGGCCTCCTAAGAAAACCCTCTGCTTCGGTTTGGGCACCCGGGCAGTATCACAGCCCTCTCACAAATCAAAGGAGATTTGTGTAGCGCATATGTATTTTGGTGCCTCCTTGTACCAATATCTATGTGTTCAAATAATAATAACAATAGTTTATTCCTGACCGTTGTTGCTACCTTGACGTGGTGGTCGGGCTTGCCTATCGTGATGAAGCAACTGAGCTATACTGGCTGGAACAACCGTTCCTCAAGGTCCTACCATGCCAGACAGGTCGGTTGAAGAGCGGTAAGACTAAAAGCAACAAAACCAAGGTCCGAAGGCGAAGTCGTACTGCTGACTGTACAGAGGTGTGACAGCAGTAAGGTGTTTCCTTCAGACAACCAGCATGACAGCGATGCTGCCTTCCCACAAGGAGGGGTGGGGTTAGAAAAGGTCGACCCTAAAAATGCACACCTCGCCTTATCCCACGGATATCCGTCTCCGGCGGTAAGGACTCAACAAGTACGGAGCTAACACAAAAATCACTCATAAAAAGGTCGTGTGTGACCGACCTCAAGCAGCTGTCCCTTGGGCACTGCGGTCACGCTCTCAGGTCACAATGACCAACTCTAATCCAATTTCCTTTTCAGGTACCTCCAGAAGAACCCTTCCACGGTGTGGGCAACCGGGAAGTGATAACCGCCCTCATACCTCTAACAGCACTCAAGACCACTGTATTCATAGTCAACCTCCCTCTTCAATTCCTATTATTCCTCCTACATCGACTTTATACACTAAACTTCCTCTATTAGCTTCCTCCTCAAGTGTCACCACAGCCAACGATTCTAATGCTCAAAACACTGTCCCAGGTCTACTGAAACCTCGCTCCAAACTACACATTGGAGCCTTCAACGTACGCACACTATGCCAAATCGGTCAGCAGGCTTCCTTGGCTAAAACCTTAGAATCTCGTACCATTGATGTATGCTGTGTCTCCGAAACACGCATACAGGATCCTAGTGTGGTCATTCACTTGACCTCACCTCGGCAAAACGGAGAGCCAACGAGATACACCCTCCGTGTATCTGGCGACCCGATGGCTAGTTCTCGTGGACTGGCAGGTGTAGGCATAGCACTTAGCATGAGGGCGGAACAAGCGCTATTAGAATGGATCCCCGTTAACGGTCGTCTATGCGCTGTTCGGCTAAACGGCTCGGTAAGAACTCGGAAGGATAGGGACACACGTCGTTGCCTTTTCGTCGTTTCTGCCTACGCTCCCACTGACTGCAGTTCGGATGAAGTGAAAGATGAATTTTACAGAATGCTGTCTGAACTTCTTCAGAAAGCTAAACGTTCAGACATAGTACTCGTAGGAGGTGACTTTAATGCCCAGGTAGGTAGCTTAAACAAAACAGAAAGACATTTAGGTGGGTATTTTAGTATTCCGGCACAGCGAACAGATAATGGTGATCGTCTGCTGCAACTGTGCTCAGACAATCGTTTATTTTTAGCAAACACAAATTTTAAGCATAAGGAGAGACATCGTCTAACATGGCGACCCCCTGCACCAAACCAACGATGGACTCAAATAGACCATATTGCCATCAGTCATCGTTGGAGAGGGTCAATAGAAGATTGTCGCTCATTCTGGGGTACCTGCTTGGACTCTGATCATGCCCTAGTACGAGCACGCATCTGCTTGCGCCTCACTGGACGCAAAAGAGCCACACAAAAAAGACTCATTAGAACCGAATTGAGTAATGAGAAAGCCAAAAGTAGGTTCCAGGAACAACTGAGGTCACACTTAGGTAGTTCTGAAAACGAGACTGACCCAGATGTTGCTTGGAAAGTTATACAAGCAGCTGTGGAAACAGCAGTGACATCTACTAGCGATTCAAACCACAGGGTTACAAAGAACCAATGGATTTCGTCAAGGTCTATTGCACTGATAGATTCTCGCAAACTCATCCCATCAGGTTCTGAATACGATGAAGAGCGTAAAGAAATCAGATCTAGATTAAGCAAAAGTCTAAAGAATGATCGTGAGCAGTGGTGGGCAACGAAAGCAAAAGAGATGGAAAAGGCGGCGGCTATAGGGAATACAAGACAACTCTACAGACTAATAAAAGAAACTGGAATTAATAAATCAAGTGTAAGTCAGACCATTTCGGAAAAAGACGACACTCTCATCTGCTCCCAGTCCAGACGCTTAGAACGATGGGCGGAACACTTTAAGGAGCAGTTTAGCTGGCCTTCAGCTACTCTACAACTACCCTCTATTCCCAGACAGTGTGAATGGAACATTGAAGTAGGTCCCCCAACTCTAGCTGAAGTTCAAAAGGCTATAGCTAATCTGAAACGAGGACGGGCAGCTGGTCCAGATGGATTGGCCCCAGAGGTCTTTAAGGATGGTGGTCTAGTCTTAGCGATTAGGTTGACTAATATTTTAGCTAAAATCTGGGAGTTAGACGTTATTCCATCTAACTGGTCACAATCACTTATCGTCCCAATATTTAAGAAAGGGTCAAAATCATCCTGTGACAACCACAGAGGGATTAGTTTGACTAATATAGTATCTAAAATACTAGCTTCGATAATTTTCGGACGCCTAACTAAAACTCGTGAGCTGCAAACACGTGAAAATCAGGCTGGCTTCAGACCTGGTCGTGGCTGCATCGACCACATATTCACCATTCGTCAGGTTCTAGAACACAGGCATACTTATCGGCGTCCGACAATGGTGGTATTCCTTGACTTAAAAGCAGCGTTTGACTCTGTTGACCGAGAGGTTCTGTGGCAGTGTCTGTCATTGAAAGGCGTACCTCAGAAGTACATAAACCTTGTGAAGGCTCTTTACTCGAACACTACTAGTCGGGTCAGAGCCTATGGCGAACTGTCATCTGCTTTTGCAACCTCAAGTGGCGTCCGTCAAGGCTGTCCACTTTCTCCTTTTTTGTTTAACTTTATCATAGACATCCTGATGGAAATAACGCTCTCATCGACTGACTTCTCGGGTATTGATCTCCTACCAGGAGGTCCACTTATTGACTTGGAATACGCAGATGACATAGTCCTGTTTGGTGAAGACGCTGACGAAATGCAGAGTCTTTTGTTAGCACTGAGCAACAATGCCCGATTGTTTGGGATGCGCTTTTCTCCCTCTAAATGCAAGTTGTTGCTTCAGGACTGGTCTGCATCAACACCTGAACTAAGGATAGGGGGTGAAGTAGTCGAACGCGTTGATAACTTCACTTATCTTGGAAGTCTGATCAGCCCTAATGGGTTGGTGTCTGACGAAATCTCAGCACGGATTCGAAAAGCTCGCTTGGCCTTTGCCAACTTACATCATCTATGGCGAAGGCGAGATATTCGTCTATCAATTAAGGGACGAGTATACTGCGCGGCAGTTCGTTCCGTCCTTCTATACGGCTGCGAAACATGGCCTTTAAGAGTGGAAGATATTCGTAAGTTACTAGTATTTGACCACAGGTGCCTTAGAAATATTGCGGGTATCTGCTGGGATCACCGGGTAAGTAATAGTGAGGTTAGACGCAGGGTATTAGGGAATGATGGTAAATCAGTTGATGGGCCACGTGTTGCGTATGCCTGAACACCGATTACCACGACGCGCAATGCTGACTAGTGCAGGGGATAATTGGAAGAAAGTTAGGGGCGGCCAAACCAAAACGTGGCATCAATGCTTGAAGTCACTAACTTCTGGTCTGAGTCATGTTGGGAGATTCAGACTGCCTGGTTGGGGTCCGCGTGACTATCGTAACCAATGGTTGGAGACTCTTGGTGACATGGCTCAGAATCGATCACAATGGCGTCGGTGTATACACTCTCTGTCTTCCTTAAATTAAGAGATTAAAATCGCTTCATATCTGTCTAGGAACTAATTCTTTCTTCCTGTACTATCTCCATATACACAATCTTTCTTCTATATATTACCACCACTGAATTAACTACTCCTATGAATCCGGTGTTCATCTTGTTGTGCTAATGCGGTATGGCAACTTGGACCGATGCATATACGTGCCTGGTCCTACGTTGCAGCTGACTGACTGACTGAACAATAGTTTATTGGAGCAACAACGACCACCATTTGTCTCCATGTATTCATTTATTTAAACGTAAATATTGGCACGAGGAAGCACCAAATATGTATGCGCCACACAAATTTGATTCGTGTAATGGTTAGAATACTGTCGGGGCGCCCAAGCCGAAGTGGGTGGTTTTCTTAGGGGACTACTGTCTGAATCTTTGACCTAAAGGTCTAATCCACAAGGCAATGAAGCAACGTTAGGAGATGCAGTCCTATGATAGTCGGTGACCAACAATAGGTTTATACGCCACTTGTTCCCTCAAGATCCTGGAGTCCATGTGTACGATTGGTTTGAAATCAGGGTTTTCCAACTCCCCTAGGTGGACCCTCCGTGTACACCCAATGCGCTGGACAATCGCTTTCCATCCTCTCAGTTTCGTAAACAACACCCTTGCTGCGAAAAGGCAGTGAGTAGGACTTCCATGGCAATGACTGTATACGTTTGGCCATGTAAGAGCATTCCAAGAGTGAGAGCGGACCCTTCCCACCCTCGATCGTACCTGGGCATTCGGGGGCTATCTCCCTGTACATATTAGAATAAGATTACTCCGGTTTTATCATTTATAATTTTGATCCTTCACTAATATTGGTATCACTTTTTCATCCCTTTTGCCTCATATTAATTTAATAGAAAATATTTACTAATCATAATGGTTTTTCTTAGTACCTGTAGTCACTATAGCTACGTAATTGTGTATGATAATTCGAAAAATATCTTTATAAAAGAAGCATTTGGATTTACTGTATTCTGAGTATATTGTTCTGTAAGTTAAGAAGAGGGGGATGACTGATAGATTTAAGAAGATAAACCGTCCTTCAGTTTTTGTCTTTTCGTTCTTCACAAATATAACTACAAAGTATCCAATCTTAGCTCGTCCACCAAGTTACTCTTTATTATATCCTTTAGGTATCTCTATTAATGACAGGAGTTCGGAGAGTCGCGATAACTGGTTTGGGGGTCTGTACACCTTTGGGTTTCAGTGTATCAGAATTATGGGCGAATCTTTTGAAAGGCTCTTGTGGAATATCAAAGACGCTTGGTATTTGTGTGTTAATTTTCATGACTCATAGAGGATTTTTCTTTTTTGCCTAGTCATGTTTTTGGGAGCATCGATAATCAAAAATTGGAAGAACGAAAGTCTTTTGTAGAGTCTGAAGTCTATAAGTCATGTGGTTTGGATATTTCTAATGATTGGAAATCTGTGTCACGTGCTAGTGCTCTAGGTATTATTGCAACCTATGAAGCTTTCAAACAGGTGAAGTGGAAAGCGAACTCAGGTTATCGAGCAGGTATGTTTTTAAATGATCTAACAAGATAACATTCACGGGGTACGATTACTTCATCCTAATGTTTTCTCATTAGCCCAGAGAATTTCCTTCCTACCACTTACCTAAAACGTCTATTAATTCGACATTTTGGTAAAACATGGATCCCAAGTACTTTTTGATATATTTAACCGAATTATTCGAGTCACTTCCATTTTACAAAAGCCAGGACACTGACTTAACTAATAAAGTACTTACTTTATCTCGTCATTTCTTTATCAGCTATTTATGATGTGATATTTAAACACCAGAACCACAGACAAGATTCACTATGGTCTGAAATAGATCATTGTTAGCAGTTCGGTTAAGAAATTATTAACATAATTTGGTTAGAACAATGGAAATCCCTATATAATTGGGAAGGTATTTTAAGATATTGCGATCGATTATTGTGTTCGATAAATGGTCCCCAAAAATTAACAGGGGTTGTATAAAGGCATTATGGAGCCTAAAGTAGGTGGTTACGTAGTTAAATCAGTAGATAAATTGATGGTAATGAAAAAACAAAGTGTATAAGAGCGTGGTTAGCTGAATTCACTGAATTGAGAGCAAAGCTTTGATATGAAATGAATAGGAGTTTAACCGAAATATGATTTGATAATTCGGGAGAAGAGATTTAAATTCAAGCTATTGGCATCAGTCATTGTTTTTTTTTCTTGGACACAAAAATCTGTTTGTTTGCTATGGCTTCAGCAAGTCTGGAAAGACTTGAGCTTATATGCTTGCCCAGTATTCGTCAGAGGATGTTTACTCTCAGGGAATACAGAACTTTAAAAAATTGTTCACTTTTTATCTTAACATTTTAACTGCTGTAACAGATGCATACTCTAGAAAATATGTTTGCAGTTAACAAAAAAGCTGCATTTCAACTTCTGATCAGGCTAACTGTCATGCTCCTACAGGTAGATTTTAATCAGTGGGGTATTCGGTCAAGTATATCAACTGGATATGATACAAACTTTTGTCATGTTCTACGTTGATTATGACCGAATAACTAACTACCTGTGTAACGTCATAACTCTTAAAGATTAATAGAATGGAAAATGTTTATATTTAACTGAAGGTCAATTCGTTTTATTGTATTCGATAGTTCCGTGTTTATCAATGAATTTCTGTGGATATATGCTGTTACTCTAGCACTTTCCAATTTTTAACATTGCTTTTCAAAAACGATCGCTGATGTATATCATTTTAGCTGATTTTATCACTATCACTCATATCCAACTGAATAAAAGTAAGTGAAATCAGTCTAGTTTAGCAAGTCCCAATGGAGTGTTGGGTTTGCTCAAAGCGATCATTGGGTTGCTGGTTTAAATCTCGTCCCATTCAATTCGGTTCGAGTATCTAGGTAGATTAGCATACATACATGAATCTGCACATGGTTACCTGTTTGTGTTTATTAGATTATAATTATACCAGTTCTCTGGATTGATAGGTTAATAATAGGTCATAATTACTAATTCATTCGTATATTGTATTTCAAACATTTCTATAGATATTCTAAGTTATTTAATGGCTCGAGAGTTTATTTGCTAATAATTTTATAGTATAACTTTAGGTGTTTGTTTTGGAGTGGGGTTGGACGGTCCAAATGAAGTTACGAATACATCATCAGGAATTTTAGCCAAAAAATACTCTACTATTGGGCCTCATGCTTTAACAAGAACACTCGGTAATATCCCAGCTGGTATAATAAGTCGAATTTGGGGACTACGAGGACCGTGTATGACAATCAATACCGCATGCGCTGCTGGCCTACATTGCATTGGCGAAGGCTTCCGTATGAGTAAGTAATTTTTGAGCAGTTTTAAGTGTATGATCACTTTGTAACCGCTTGCTAGAGTTGACAGTGTCACATGTACTATACCTGTTAAACGATGATTCTATTAAGACGTTATATATATTTGATAACCAATCCCTACAGGATATCGCTGGTGTGTATGTTAAAACAACTAAGCAAGTAATTTATTTAACTGTATGACTACCATGGTTAAAACATGTAAATTCACTATCATCATCTTATATGTATGTATACATGCTATAATATAGTCAGATAATTGATGGATAGAGTAGAATTAAAGGGCTTCAAATACAGCTACACCAAAATATAATTGTTCGAAAGATTTGAAGAACTACGTCCTCCGATATAAAACCACCGAAAAAATGTAAATTAGAAATTAAAATAATGTGTAATGTAATTACTGAGAGTTATATCCACTTGTTTGTTTTCAATATCAATTAATCGCTCGTTTATTTTCGTTTCATATTTCACTAGTTCAGAATAACGAAGCTGATCTGGTTGTTACTGGTGCATGTGAATCTCCTTTGAATGCCTGGACAATCGCTGCTTTTTGTCGACTACGTGCATTATGTACACAATTTAATGATACTCCTGAAAAAGCCTCTCGTCCATTTGATTCCTTGCGAAAAGGATTTGTGTTATCTGAAGGTGCAGCTTCAGTTGTATTGCAGGCATGGCCTCCTCCAGACAGTTTCTTAATGGAGTCATTTATGGAAACACCAAAACCGATAGCTGAAGTTATTGGTTTTGGAAGGTCTGGTAAGTTTTGTTCCAATTTACTGAGATGTGTGATTTTTTTAGCACTTATCATAGAATTTTGCATCTCTGTTATCTCGATGGGAATTTAGCTGTGACTTTCTCCTCTTACGAAACTAGTTCCTTAATAAATCGCTTCAAATCTTTATAACTGGTTTATCCATATATTTATGTATTCGTTATTTTCGTCAGAAACATCAGACACTCGGTAAAAACGTACCCGACATATTGCTTCCTGCTTTTTTTTAACGTTGTCCTAATGGCCATACTAATACGATTATTCATCATTCAGTAGTAATAAGGTGGGTTAGTATATGCGATGTAATGCACCTTTTTAATACTAATGATACATACTTCTCTAGTTTCTTCAACCCCAGAAATAAATATGAAATATTTATTAAACTACTTACAAAGTGATAATTGATTGAACTCCACATATAAGAGTTCAGTCTGCAATTTTCTAAATTACGTTGTTCCAGGTTAGTTTTGACTGTAACAGTTATTTTATTTACAATTGGCTGACCCATGTCTGACGCACAACACAAGCGACAGAGTTTTAAAAATAAGTTATACTTAAACACCTTTCAACTCTTATTCTGTAATTTAACAGTTTTTAAATTTTAGGAATGATACTACATTGATAAATTGAATTCATGTAACTCATTTGCTAGGTACACTTTTGTGTACTCGAATTTAAGACACACTGTTTATTTGAGGTCTAGTTATACTGTGGTGTGTGCTACTTATGTAAACATAAGTAGTATATGATGTTTGTCGTGAACAGAATGTCTGGTAGCAGAGAGACAAGAAGACCGAACAGTAAAGAATGAAGTTAGCATGCAATTTGTGTGAAAATGGAAGAACAAAAGAGGTCTGATTCATTTGACACAATTGATGGACATTTTGCAAATTGAGCATTTAATATATGGTTGTTAGATTTTATTAACTAGTTCTGTAATTTGTCGTTAAATACATTCGATTGTCCAAATTGGCGTTCTCCTTCACTACAATACTACTGGGCTTTTTAATCGAATTAGGTAAAAAGACATATGAACTTGTGGCTTGTTAAAAACCAAGTGTTTAAACCATCAAGTCACCACTTTAGAACAGTGTATTTATCGGAAATGAATAATTTTGCAAGGAAAATGAATATAAATGATTTATAGTATGATCTATCGAACGAGTAATCTTCTTATAGAGTGTATATATTATTAAATTTGGATTCATTTGATTTTATTGTCTACCTGTGTATTGCAACTGCACTCTTACGACTTTTCATAACATACAGGTTACTTTATATTTTTCCTTAAAAATTTGTTTACTTATATATAGGAGATGCACATCATTTGGTTGCACCTGATACAACAGGAAATGGAGCACTTCGAAGTATGCTAAATGCCTTCAAAGACTCAAAACTTGAACATTTCAATCAAGTAAGAGCTGTTTTTGAATAGTTAAAATATTAATTTATCTTCATTTATTTAACATTTTCTGGAGCAACATTCTATTTGCATTTATAGTTCACATTAGTAAAAATAAAAGTAATTAAAGTTGACTAAATTTGTTTCTACTTCCAGGTGTTACTTTTAAATATGAGTTTGTTTATGGTAATTATGATTGAATCATACTGAAAGAGAAAAGACCGAACGAATTTATTGTGAAATTAGTTAAATAAGAGTTAACTATAATAACCATATAGTTTTTTTCCGATGTAATTGTCATTCTCCATACAGAAAATTCACGGTGCTGTTAAAGCTAAAAAAAAACTTGTAGAAAACTCTTCAATCATTGCCGTCTAAACGCGTTCGTCTGATTCTTGTTGTAAAAAGATATTCAGTTATACATTCTTTACTAAAATGTTGGTAGGTACGAAGGATCTACCTAGGGTAGTTGGAAAACCTTGATTCCAAACCAATGGCACATATGGGCTTCAGGATCCTGAGGAGACAGATGGCGTATAAACCTATTGTTGGTCACCGGTTGCCATGGGACGAAATCTCCTAACGGGCGTCTAAGCACATAGGAGAGTCATATGGGTGGCTGTTGAGGATGTCTTGGTCGTGAAATAGATTACGGTGACCTCTTACTGCAACTTTGCTCAGCCTACAACCTGTTTCTGGCCAGAACTAACTTTCGGCACAATAACCGCCGATGTGCTACCTGCTGTCCTCCCTATGTATCTGAAACCTGGACTCAGATTGATAATATCACGATCAGCTACTGCTGGCGTGGCTGTGTATAAGATTCCTGCTCCTTTTATAGTACTTATCTAGACTCTAATCATGCCCTTTGTTTGCGCTAATCCTATCTTACGTTTCAGTGGCCAACAAATTCATCACCATAAAAAGATCGATGTCACCTAATTGGTTGCAGCTTCTGTTGCAACTAAATATCAAACTCGGCAAGGTTCAAAACTAAGTATTAGCCCATTGAAAAGTGTAGATGAGCACTGGGTGCAAGTGCATGACGCCATGAAAATAGCGAGTAAAGTCGCTTGCGAAATCTTGGGACGTCCCGCTTATAAGCACTAGATTTTCACAGGTTTCTTACAACTCATTGAATCATGTTGGTCTACTCCGAGTAACCGCGGGTTTGGCCATAAACAAAGGTTGTCGCGTGGCAAAATTGTGCAAAGCTTTCGTAAGGACCGAGAAGCCTGGTGGTTGAAGAGTTCTAACGAGTTGGAAACAGCGGCTGCTTCCGGTAACTGTCGAAAGGTCTTTCAACTCATCTGAGTCACTTGCAGCAAGAAGTCTGATGTGAGTGAAACAATCTGTGGTGACGAGATTTCGGTCAATAACATTTATGGACGTCTCGGACGATGGGCAGTGTTTTTCAAAGGGCATTTCAACTGGTCTACTGCTCCGGCAACATCGACCAAACTGTCCTGCCTTCCATGGCCCGTGACGAACTGATCCACCTAACGAGGCGGAAGTTCACGAGGGACTCCATCTTAGATTTTTGACACTTAAACTATCCTATATAAGTATTATGTTTTGAGTTCATTACTTAATTGTGATTTAGAATCAACTGGACGAATGAGTAGAAGCACATTATATGTGGATACCCCAGATACATTTGATTCGATTACAACTGACTGATAAAGGAAGTAGACGGTTGTACCAAAAATAATGGTTATTCGTTTAAAGAGTTCATAATAAGACGATAACTTACCATCCAGTTAAAACTTAGCTAATCTGGCTATACAACATTGAGGATACCCAGTCATCATTGCTTCTACATTCAATGGATCAGTTTTTATTCACTTGAATATGTCGCGTATGTAAAAGTAGGATCTCATATTCGCGATTATTGTCCGGCAAGTGATGAAATGCCAAAGCATACTTCGATTTACGAACCTATTTTTTGTATAACGTCTCTGTGGCTTTTATAACCAATACTGTCTCCTGAAATTGAAATTAGTTGGAAGAATTTAAGTGGCTTCTCGTACCATAACATAACGTGCTGAAGACATATCAGGTAAGCTGAGTTCACTTCTATCGACCCATCATTAGTGTCCTAATTCAACTTAATGACATCATTCAAAATCGCGATCAGTGACGAACCTTATTTAGTTTAGTAAAAAAAGCGAAATCTATTTTGTTTATAGCACTACTTGGTCTTTTTGATTTGGTTATTTTATAATTATGAGAGAGTTTTTCATTTTCTATTTCTTCACTCAATTATTTGTTATGAAGCTCATTGCTTAATGCTCTTTTTCTGCCATGCTATTTTGTACAGATAAAAGTGAGATACTCTAATTGATGAACGGTACTTTGTACGGTTGATGTTGATTTTTCTAGAACTAAACTCTTACAGGATTGTTGAAAGCGACTATCGGTGATTAAACCTTACACTCGTCAATGATTTTCTAACAATTTATCGTAATTTAATATTAACTAAACATTATGGATCAATGTATATCCGAAATTAATTATCGTCTATTGATCAACACTTTTATTTGACACATTTCTACACGGTATGAATTCGTATTTCTCGGGGTGTGTACATTTCCTATTAATTTGTCAGTACACTCGTGAGCAAGAAACCGAGTTCCATGACTTCCTGCTTATTAGTAATTAACCTTCAAAAAAACTGGAAAATGTATTTTTCGTCTCATATGCTGCAGAATTATTTACACATGACTGTGTTTCATATTTGTAATTGTTAATTTAGTTTTATAATCTTTTAATTTTTTTCAGATTGGACACATAAATTGTCATGCAACATCCACCCCTGTAGGTGATTTAACGGAGCTGAGCGCTATTGCACAAATGTTTGGTGAATATTTTACTCAATACCATACACCTGTTGTAATCAATTCAATTAAAGGTCACCTTGGTCATTGTTTGGCAGCAGCCGGTGCCATAGAAACCGTGTACGCTGCTTTATCTGTTAACCAGAATCGAATTTGTGGAAACCTCAACTTGCATAATCCTATTTCAATCTATGAGTTGATGGAGGTTTTAAAATCTAATTCCAGTTCTTCAACCAGTATATCTTTTAATGAAAAGTGTATAGATCTGTTTAGGAACTATGCTGTACTTCCTAGACACGATCAAACACAAGTTACGTGGCCCAGTGGTCATCGACGTATTGTTATGACTAACTCATTCGGATTCGGTGGGACAAATGGAACTCTTTTAATTTCTGAATGGACAGATTAGTATAATATGTATTTTATTGTATTTTATAGATTCTATCCAATAATTTTTCACCAATGATCAAGTCTTTTTCGTGTTTGACAGAGGGGTTAATGTTTATTTGCATATATTTAATTAGTGAATGCAGATACCGCTGAGCGTTAATTGGTTTACTTACCAGACAAATCCGAAATTAAGAAAATAATAAAGACAGTCTTTCAAATTTTTTAACTGCTTTACTTAGACGTACAAAAGAAATTAGATTGTAATCTCGTACAATTAATCCCTAAAGCAAACGTGAACATCCCGGTCAGATTAAGATTTGATGAACAACGTGAAGTCATTCAGTTTTACTAGTTCCTTATCAGGTGAATACAACTTGGTTTGCTATTTATCTTACTTTGATAACTTGTCGTTTGATTGTTCGACTGTTTCTTTGTAAATCTTTTCTCACTACACAAATATTCATGTCCTTGTCGTATATCTCCCGACCGTAGCTGCTACCTCGACGCGGCGGTCGGGCTTACCTATCGTGATGATCCAACCGAGCTATATTTGGCTGGAACATATGTTCGTGTAGGTTCCACCATGTCAGGCAAGTCGATTGGTAAACGGTAAGACTAAAAGCAGCAACTCAAGGTTTGAGGGTGAAGTCTTACCGCTGCCTGTAGAGGGGCGTGACAACAGTAAGGTGTTTCCCTCCGACAACCAGCATCTGCAGCGATGCTGGTTAGAAAAGGTTGACCCTAAATATGTCACACCTCACCTTGCCTCACGGATTTCCGTCTCCGGCGGTAAGGCCGTTTGAAGAACGGAGCTAACTCTTGGGCCATCGATGTGGGCTGCGTCTCCGCAACGCGCACACAGGATCAGAGTAGCGTCATTCATTTGACCTCACCATGTCACGCTTCGTGTATCTGGCCTCGCTGGCGTAGGTATAGCATTGAGTCCTAGGGCAGAACTAGCTCTCTTAGACTGGATCCCAGTAGACAGTCGTTTGTGCGCTGTCCGACTAAACGGAACATTAAGGACTCGGAAAGATAGGGACACGTCGTTGCCTCTTCGTCGTCTCTGCCTACTCTCTCACTGACTGCAGCTCAGATAATGTAAAAGATGAGTATTACAGAAAGCTTTCCGACCTCCGAAAAGCTAGGCACTCTGATGTGACTTTAATGCTCAAGTAGGTAAACTGAGCGAAAGAGAAAGACACCTGGGTGGATCTTATGGTGTTGCCGCTCAAAGAACAGATAATGGCGACCATCTGTTGCAGCTGTGCTCAGATAACCGCCTGTTTCTTGCAAATACTAACTTTAAGCATAAGGAAAAACATCTTTTAACATGGTGACCCCCTATTTCACTAAACTCGCCATCAGCCACCGATGGAGGGGCTCGATAGGAGACTGTCGCTCATTCTGGAACACATACTTAGATTCAGATCATGCCCTAATGCGAGCACGTGTTTGCGTCTTACTAGACGTAGGAAAGACGCTGCAAGGAAACCCCTTAGGGCCCTACTTAATGATAGTCAAGCTAAGAGTCCAACTAGAAGAACAGTTAGGCAGCCATGTAAGTGATGCCCACCCCGAGGCAGCGTGGAATGACATCCGAAAAGCTGTGGAAACAACAGTGATATCTGCTAGTACGGTAAACCACAAGGTTGGGGAGAAACAATGGACCTCAGCAGCATCTCCCGTACTGATAGATGCTCGAAAACCCATTCCATCTGCCTCTGAACATAACGAAGAGCGGAGTCAGCTTAAGCGTAAGTTGACTAGAAGCCTACGCAAAGATCGTGAACAGTGGTGGGTAGCGAAAGCAAGAGAGATGGAAAAGGCAGCGGCAATAGGTAACAGCAGGCAACTGTTCAGACTTGTTTGGGAAATCGGTATTAGGAACCCGACTGTTTTCGAAACTATCTCAGAAAAAGATGGACATATTATTCACTCTCAATCCAGGAGATTGGATCGATGGGCAGAACACTTTAGGGACCAGTTTAACTGGCCTTCAGCCACACTTCGGTTCCCCAGTCTACCTGAATGGCAAGTTGATGTAAGTCCCTCGACTCTTTACGAAGTTGAAAAAGCTATAGGAAATCTGAAGCGTGGGAGAGCAGCAGGCCCTGACAGGTTCACCACTGAGATTTTTAAGAATGGCGGTCCAGTATTAGCAGCGAGATTGACTGAGGTCTTAGGTAGAAGCTGGGAACTGGACGTAATCCCATCTGACCGGTCGCAATCACTGATCGTGCCGGTCTATAAGAAAGGACAAAAGTCCTCCTGTGACAATCACAGAGGAATTAGTTTGACTAATATAGTGTCTAAAATATTAGCTTCAATAATACTTCGACGCCTAACCAAAGCTCATGAAGAGCAGACTAGAGAAAACCAGGCTGGTTTTCGACCTGGACGTGGTTGTGTAGACAAAATATTCACACTACGTCAGGTCCTAGAACATAGACACACATTCAGACGCCCCACAATGATAGTATTTCTCGACCTTAAGGTGGCATTTGACTCTGTTGATCGTGAGGTTCTATGGCAGTGTTTGTCACTGAAAGGAGTACCAAAGAAGTACATTATCCTTATAAAGGCTCTCCACTCGAACACAACTGATCGAGTGAGAGCTTATGGCGAACTGTCATCAGAACTGATTACCTCAAGTGGTGTTCGTCAAGGCTGTCCACTCTCTCCATTCTTGTTTAACTTTATCATTAACGTGCTTTTAGAAATAACACTTTCCTCATCTAAATTTTCAGGAGTTGAACTTTTATCGGGAGATTCACTTGTTCATTTAGAGTATGCCGATGACATAGTTCTATTTGGTGAAGACGCTGACAAAATGCAGAGTCTGCTGACCACTCTAAGCAACAATGCAGGCATGTTCGGCATGCGATTTTCTCCCTCGAAATGCAAAATGTTGCTTCAGGATTGGGTTGCATCGGCACCCGAACTAGTGATAGGGAGTGAAGTAGTTGAGCGTGTCGACCGCTTCACTTATCTTGGAAGTCTTATCAGCCCATGTGGTCTGGTGTGTGACGAAATCTCAGCACGGATACAGAAGGCTCGACTAGCTTTTGCCAACTTGCGTAATTTGTGGCGTAGGCGAGATATCCGTCTAGTATCACAGCCCTCACACAAATCAATTGATATTCGTGTGGCGCATATGTACTTGGTGCCTCCCTGTACCTATACTGGTGTGTTAAAATAAATAAATAAATAATAACCAAAGGACGAGTTTACTGCGCAGCAGTTTGTTCCGTCCTAATTTATAGCAGTGAAACATGGCCAGTAAGAGTATAGGATATTCGTAGGTTACTAGTATTTGATCATAGGTGTCTTCGAAAAATCGCTCGTGTATCCTGAGACCACCGAGTAAGTAATGCAGTTGTTAGGAAACGGGTACTAGGTAAGAATGGCAATTCAATTGGTGAAGTAGTGAAACTTAATCAGTTGAGATGACTGGAACACGTTTTACGTATGCCCAACCACCGACTGCCCCGACGTGCGATGTTTTCTGGTGTAGGAGTAGGTTAAAAGAAAGGTAAGGGCGGTCAGACCAAAACATGGCACAAATCCATGAAGTCACTGACAAGTGGACTGAGTCATGTTGGTAGGTGTAGACTACCTGGTTGATGTCCGTGAGATGATAACAACCGATGGTTAGAGACCCCGAATGACATGGCTCAAAACCGTTTGCAATGACTCAGAGACATCCAAACTTTATGTTCTCCCAAATTCTAATCTGAATTCATGTCCCTTTTTTCGTCTTTCCAAATTTATTTCACTGGATTATACTCCATGAATAATATCTTCAAACCATGTTTCCGATTTCTGCTTATAATCTTACTACCTCTATCATCACGGGATTTGAATCGACAACTGCATCTCTGTGCTAATATGGTGTGGTAACTCGAACTGATGTACGTACGTACGAAGTTCTACGTTGTTACTAACGGAATGACTGTCGTATATCTATAGTCATAGACCAAATGAATCATCTTTTCATTATCTTAGTTTATACTCTGGATAATTATGATTAACTTAAAGGTTAAGAACCAGTATAGTATAAAGAACGCGATGTATACCTTCTTTGTAGCTAACATTTGTCGTAATACTTACTTTATTTATTATAAGTCGATTATATTTTTCTACTTCAGACTACCCATTGTTAAGACAAAAGATTTCTTCGAACACCTAGCTACATTTGGTCTTCATCCTAATGCAAAGGTTCTCACTCCCGCAGAGGCTTTCAACTCGTTTACGTAGTACAGTCTGGCATACTAGACTGTAAGTCTTTTTTGAGGGTTGAAACCCAACCCATCTGCCAAAACCGAATTAAAATGGAGGGTAGTTTGGACTAATGTAAGCCACTTGGGAATAACTCGAGGTCATCAATGCAACTCACTGAATAATTGCTATTTCAGTACCACAGTTCAACAAGTCTATAAGTTGCCGAAACAACAGACTTTGTTTATAAATAGCAGGTGTATCCGAGATGGGGAAAATATCGTAAGACTTTGACTAAAAATAATGGATTAAGTTTATGACATTAGTTCAAGGAGAATTAGAACAAAAGGATGAAAATGGTTTTATCAACATTGGTAAAATACAAAACCTTACAAGCATAAATAATTTAAATTGCTATAAACATTCCGAGAAAAATTTTATTAACAAGTCACTTTATCTTAACAACTGTCGATAAATAGCTCGCAACTGATCAGGAAAGTAGCTAACAAAAAGTACGATTAGTCCTAGCTAATAGATGTAAGATTACTTAGTTGTTATGTTGAAAAGTACGAACTGTAGAGATGAATATTTCGTAGGGATTAATAATATCTAAAGAAACAAAAGTTTTAGTAGCCTAATGAAATACATTTTTAGGATGAAAGTTATTCGGAGGCAAACTGGAAAAGATTCCTGTATGATTAGAAATTCATGTCTGCATCACTAAAGTATGAAGTGTAGTTTTGTCAAATAATTCTGATTTTCTGCAGCTATATCTGTCAGTCTATTTTATCCATCCGA